TTTATCTTCTACAATCGGGACCGTTTTATACATATTGAGAAATATTATTAATTGTTATACATATTTAATATATATATGTGTGATCATTCTGTTATACAAGAAATTATAAATTTTCCACAAAGTATTAATAATAAAAGTTTTTAGTATATTTTCTGTGATTTTGCCCGAAAATATGCAAATTTATGTTTAATTATATTATACGAAACGTGGAAATAAGAAATCATCTTCTTTTAATTGATACCTTGTGTTTACCCTTAGCGCTCCGTGCATTTTTGTACCACTGTCTACCAGCAACTCCGGCAGATTTTCGGAGCGGAACGAGTGAGAAGAGAGTTTCTTATTTTAAGTGAGAAGAATTACACGTGCTTGTGAATGTTTTTGATTTTATTTATTTTATACATAAGTACGCATTTTCTTCTTGTAAATGAACAAATTTTAATTTTGTAGAGAGACTGAGCACCCTTTAACTACAGATAACAATTGCCAACGCCGACAATTTCGTAACATCTTAAGCGTAAACATGTTAAAAACATTGGGCTCCTCATCGGAGCCTACGGAGTTACGAGACAAATTACTGGTGGCTCTGCAGTGGAGCCATTGGAGTTCTAAGGGTTAATCTTGTGTGTTATATCAGAAAATAATTTTTATTTTCGAATATTCAAAGTGATTCTAATTCATACATAATTCATACAATCATTTTATAATCAAAAGTATTTTAATATTAATCAGAACGAAAGGGTTTTTATTAAATGCGAAAATTTCGGAAAATTCTTTGAAATTTTTCAATAAATAAAATATGTTACGATTTTTATATTGTATACTTATGGATAAATTATCTACATATGTTTATTGATTTGAATTCATAAGATGTGTGTGTGTGTGTGTTTATAAATTTATTTTGTGTGTGTGTTTATAGATTTATTTTGAGTACATAAATATATCGTCATCTTTATTAAAAATTACCCAAATATTGTTAATTGTAAAATATACAAAAATTAAAATTTTTCTTTTAAAAAATTCCGCTATCTCTATAATTCTAAATTCTGATTATGAAATTCGAACATAACTATATGTATGTAAGTATACATATGTATGTATATAAGTAAGTGTAAGTATATTTAATTAATGAAAAGTAAAATAATTTTGTATTTTCTTTTTACTAAACCCCACCTTAATTACACCTCAAATATATTTATAACTGATATTTATAACTGATATACTTACCTACATTTTTAAATTTACTATAAGGTCATGTTATTCACTATTCGAACCTTTTTTAAGTATACATACTTAATTTAAAATATAATTTTGACTTTATCTGTTATATTACATTACTTGCTAAAAACAAATGTAAATATTTGAAAAAATTTCGCTTCATTCACAATATGCTTAAATTTGTTTATAGTTTATTTTTAGTCACATTCACGATTTTAGTAAAAATATTAATTTTTTTTTTCGATAGAAGTATTGAATTACTAAATTTTATTAAATGGAATTTGTGTTTTCAATTTTTAAACTACTTTTTTAACCTTTCTATTTCTTAGATTTTACATGAATTCACATAATTTGTACAATTCACAATTCACAAGTTACCGAATTTTTTTTTTAATTCACAAGCATCTAAATATTTCGATATAAATTTATAATTAGGGCTGAAATTTCGGTTCAGATGATGTTATATTATAGATTATAGAATAAATATAACACACTAAATTAAAATTTCAACAAAATTAATAAGTATACTTAATTATTATTGTTAAAATAAAATTTACCTCGAAATTAACCTTATTATAATTGAATGTACCTGCATGAATATTATTCTTGTACTATTCTCTAATTAAATCTTATTGAGAAACATTGATTCACGTAAAATTTTTATAATGTTATAAGACGATTATTTAAATACAACAATGCGTACACATAAAAGTTAATATATTTAAACATTAAATTCACTATGAAATTTTATATTATTATTGACCTTCTAGTTTTATATTATAAGTAATTCAATTAATTTAGAAAATAAAACCATGCAATTTCTCAAAAAAAAAATTAATGCAATAATGAAATCATATACATATGATTAATATGACGGTATGATCGTGAGTGTATCGTACATGTTTTATATACTATGTATATCATACAAAAAGTATTATACCTAATAGAAAATACAAAAGAGGAAAAGAAAAAGAAAAAATAAATTTTAAAATGATATTAAATGTTTAAACGAGCTAAAAATTAATTACAAAAAAAAATCAATGTAAAATCATTTCGTAAATTAATTTAATGAAGCAATTAAAGTTCAAATTAATTTATTTATTACTCGCAATTAATTAGATATAAGTATATATACAATATGTATAATATGTACATATATGCATTGCTGGTCAGTCATAACATAATAATGTGTAATAAGAAGACCTAAAATTTGAACGTGATTAAATGAATATTTTTGTTAAATGTTTGTTTACAGCAAAGAAAAGGGTAGAAAAACTATTATAAGTATATATACTTATTTTACAAAGAGCAGGATGTTTCTTACAGTATTTTACTTATAAGCTATTTACGATAGTTAAAATTTTTGCTACATCAAATGTTTAGAGCTCAGGCAATTTGATAGCTTAAGTAAAAAATTACAAATTGTTTGATTGCGTGTGATCATACAGTTTTATGTGTGCGAATATATAAGTAAACCTATGCAACACATAAATAAGAAATCAAACAGTTGCAAAACTAAAAATTGTATGTTTGTCTGAGCCCTTAATTAATTGAATTTTATCAGATGACAGACAGCTTTATCATATATAAAATATGGAATAAAAATTTAGGTATGACATACAAAGTATGAAAGACATGTTGTAGAACAATCATAAAAAAAAATTTGCACATAAAAAACGACAAAATATTGAAATGTTAAATGAAAATCTTTGTTAATGTTTTGTAAATAAATTTCATTGTTAACATTATAATTTAATAATCAGCATCACCCTGTTAAATGAAATTTAATATTATCTATTTTATATGTTTGCACTCACATACCTACATATATGTATTGCAATAAACACATAGTAAAGATAACAGAAAGTCTTATAAATAGCCTGACAGCTGTGTGGTATATTTTGAAATAGAAATGGTAAGTATAATGAGAAATGGAAATTAGCCGTCAAAATAAATCGTCAACAATAACAGAATACAATATTTGTCGATTGATTTAATCGATGTGTCTTTTTGATGATTGGCTAAAGCTTAACGTTTTCTTTAATTTCTAAGTTGATTTTGTTGCCATTTTTTCTTTTGTTATTTTTTTATGTTATTTATATTTTTTTGGATACGCAACAAAATAAATTTTTTTTTTGTGTTTACTTTCGAATTTCTAAACAATTTCTCTAAAATATCAAAACCAAAACATTTAACTAACATAACAAGGTGGGGTTCGAATCGAATATTAAAAAAATGATTTTTTTTTTGCTAGATTTTTTTGCTAGAAACGAAAACGATATCGATTTCCAAAATAATAAATGAATGAATTTGATGAAAACAAAATAAAAATAATATTGCAAATAAAAAAAAAGAGAATAGAAAAAATTTAAACTAATTTTTATTTTAAGTTTTTTTTTATCAAAGCGATATTTTTTGCGGTATTTTACAAATACAACCTACAACATACTTATACCTAGTTGTACAACATATTTACACTTAGTGTATTAAATATGACTAAGTATATTATGTATGTATGTATGTATATTGATGTGCATACAACAGATAGGTCATGAAAGTCAAATAATCAAATTAAATTTTTTTTTTTTTGCTTTAAATTTGCTTAACTATTAATTGATAACAATTTATTTATTAAATCAACATTTGTACATATTTGCATTAGTATGTTGGTGTATTGGTGTATATAAATGTACGTACTTAAATATGTATATGTTTAATATACTGAATTAGTTCCTATATAAAATGGGAAATTTTATAAAATAAGTTCCTTATATAAAATGAATAACTTTATAAAATTTTAAGAATTTTATCAAAAGAATTTGTTATGATTTGCATATTTTCAAAAAAATAAATTGATATATTGGCTAAAATTGATATAAGTACTGGCTAGAATACTTAACAGGCCCTATTGCCTCATCTGTACAATCTACAATCTAAAACTCAACTCTATTTTTTTTTTGAAACATTCACTAAAATGGTGAGGTAACAAAAAAAACCTACGTTGCTGATTACGTTGCTCTAATACCAACTTTCGCACAGTTTTATTGTTAATTAATTATTACTCTTGTAAACTTAACGGTTCTACTTAACACCTTATTCCTTACGCTACCGGTCGATGAGTAGCCTATTTATCGGCTTTTCGATTGCCAGCGCTTATTGACTGGTAGCCTATTAAACGGCTTTTGGTTATCAACGGTTTTTGTCAGTGGGTTGCTCTTTTTATAACTTCGTAGCGCCAACGTCGTTATTTATTTGATACTAAAAAATTTAATTACTGTTACCTTGAATTTATTTCATGAATGTGAGTTAAACAGGTGACTTAGCCGGTACTTACTGAGTGGCAGCCTCAACCACAACCGATTGATAAAGTGTTAAGATATAAATTTAAATACAAGCAATATCGGGCCACAGAGATAGAAATGAAAGAATGTTACGTAGCTCACCATTTTTCACCCCCCAAAATGTACCGGATATTATACCCAACCTGTAAAATGTAAATTATGTTTTACAAGTTAGAAAAGTGAGCATTTAGTTGTAAATTTTTATTAATTTGAGTGGGGGTCATTCAGTTGTATTGGAAAAAAATACTTCGTGGGGTATTGAAAGAAAAATACTTCGTGGGGGGAGAATCTTGTTGAAATTGTAATTAAATTATATTTACAACTTTAATAAAATTATATTTACTTTAAAAATTGTAATATTCTGTTTAAATTGTTGAAATTTCATATTTAAATGGAAATGATTATTAATATTTTTATTTCAATTCTTATTTATTATTTATGCAGGCAATTTCCAGTTATACACAATATCAAATAATTCCACGGCGAATAAAAATATCAAAAAGATTAGCACAATGTATGCATCCAGCATTACCATCTGGTGTTCATTTGAAGGCACTTGAAACATATGATGTTATATTTAGTAAAACAGGTTCAGAAAGGTTAGCAACAGAACTTTTCATATATAGGTAAGTATTTCTTACATTATTATTAATTACTATCTATTGAAATAATAATATTAATTAAATTCAAATTTTGTTGTTTTTTTTAGTGCGGGTCTTTTTCCATTACTCGGATATGCTGCTATGAATGTACGTCCAACATTATTAGAAATCTATGAAAAATATTTTGTACCATTAGGTGAAAAATTAAGACCAGCGCTTAGTGGTTTTTTAAGTGGCGTATTACCAGGTTATGAAAGTGGATTAGATCATTTTGAAAGAACAAATTCATTATTAATGAAAGTATGTACAGCAGTAAATCCAATATATTTTTATACAGTTGTATGGGAATGTGTTGCAACAAATGCATCGATCAGATTACCTGCGATATCATATTTAGTTGAACATTTTAATAAACGTACTGGTATGCAAGAACAAATTTATATAATGGGACATAATCATGATGTTATGATGGCTGGTTTATGTGCATGTTTAAATGATGCTGTTATACTAGTACAGAGAAATACATTAGAATTTTTATTATTAGGATTTCCGATGCATACAATATATTTAGCTGAAAATGATTTAATTAAATTAGTAACAAATGGTTTATATACTATATTGAGAAGGGATATGTCATTAAATAGAAGATTATATGCTTGGTTATTAGGTACTGAAGTTGCTAAAAATAATTCATATTATGTTGATGGTGAAGAGAATCATAGTGGAACTGGTGTAGATGCTGAAACTGAAGAATCATATTTTGAAAAACATTCCAAACAAATATTAATTAAATCATTAGTTTGTACATTTAAATATAGTCTTGAATATACACCAGTCGATTTGAAACCATATAAAATAATGGTTTCATTATTGGATAAAGCAGAAATTGGTCCTCCAGTATTGGATTATGTTTTATGTGATGTAATAAGAACGATGTCATTATGTAATGGAAATTATGAAGTTGGTAAATCAGCAAATTTATTATTTGCAACATTTGATCCAGCCTATATTTGGAATTTTATGACAGTGCAATTTGAAAAATCGTGTAAACGAGTACGTTATAATAAACACTATAATTACTAAATTTTATTAAATTTATTTAATTTTTAAAAATTTTATTTTAAAATTTAATATCTTTTAATTTTAGAGCAAAGATGATTCAAATTTATCAAAGAATTTACGTAATATTATGCAAGAACAAAATACAAAATTTAAATCAGTTGTTGGATCGGGTGAACCATCTATGATTGAAATATGTTACTTAACAGAGTTTTTATTAGAAACAATTTCACTGGAAATGTATAATGAAACTACTAGAATTTATTTACCGAAAGTATTTCTTTCAATAGCTCAATTATTGACAATACATTCCGAAAATTTAACACATGAAGAAGTTACAACAGCATTAAAATTATGCATGAAAATTGTTTCTAGAGTTCAACCGATGATTACGTAAGAAAAAAAAATTTAGTTTTATTTGTATTAAAGAAATATAATAATCCTTGATTCTGTTTTTTTTTAGAAGTCCTGTCAAAAAGAGTCCAAATAATAAGAATTCTGAAACGGATGATCCAACTAGAAATATTAATTCAAATAATACGAATAATGTGAGTGAAAATGTTCAAAGTGCTAATGCGCTTGAAAAGAGTAAATCAGATTCAAAATTGAATCAATTCTCGCACGATGATGATGATGATGAACCTATTCGTAGATCAAATTCAAATCATTTTTTAGATCGAAAAAACAACAGTCCAAAAAAATCGAAAAAGGCGAAATCGTATTCAAAACTGTTAGAGTTAGATAAAGAGGTAAGTACTAATTGTAGCAACTTTGTTAAATTCCAAAAACTCATGTTTGCAAACTTTATTACAAATCATGCAAATCGTTTCTTGAATTTTTCATATATTTTTTTTGATTTTAGATTTGTCCTGATACTGGTCAATTCGTTTTACCTTCATCTTCATCAGAACTTGATACACCACTCAGTATTAAAAAACTTAAACAAAAAAAAGCATCACCAAAATTCATGAAATCTGGCAGTCCAAAAAAACAGCGACCGCAAGATCTTAAAGTTGATATAACACAAAATATACCAGAAGAGAAAACTGAGCAAGAAAGATCGGAATCAGCTCCACCCAAAACGGATACAAATGATAATGTCGATAAGGGAAATCAAGAAGATTCGAAAACAAACACTGCTCAGCAAACTCAACAATGGCAACAACCAACGTCACAAGAATATTCAATTTTAGAAAAGTGTATTAGACAATACGAAATATTTTACGAAATTTACTTGTCAAGACAGATTTTACACATTAATACACCAATTAAGTCACCACTATTTTTTAATGCCACTTCTTGCCCCATAACAGTAAAAGTTGAAAGTGGTGAGTCTCCACCTAATAATGATAATATTGAAAATATTTTTGAAAATGAAACGATTTTTGAAAATGGAAGCATTCAAAGAACAATCGAAATTGATCAACTGTTTGAGACCTTAAGAATAAATGTTGTTTGCAGATCAGCTCAATTACATAATTTATTAAATCGTTCATTAGCAGGAGCAGTTGCTGAATCTTCAAATATAAGTGATATGAGTGATACTGAATTTAAAGATTGTGTTTCAAGTACAGAACAACTAGATAAAATTGAGACCAAATTTAAAATATTTGATGATACAACAGAAAAATGTATTAAGAAAATGATGTTATTAAGACTAAGTGAATCGCTGAGAAATACTATAAAATTAGCTTCAAATCTTTTAGTGGAAATGTCAACTTTCCCCAATTGTAAAAAAAATTTGGTTTTAGATAAAAATGGTAAGTAAATACTTACAAATATTACAAGATAATAGAATGTATGTTATATTATATATTTACATATTTTTAAGAAATTGAATTACCAAGTTGGTTGAAAGTATTAACTTTAGTGGCATGTTATACACAAAATGATAAAGAATTGCAGCTGGCTGCCATCACAACACTTTTTGACTTAATAAGGTAAATTTGTTTTTATATCCAACCTAGAATCGTCTAAACTTAAAAATATTTTATATCAGCTTATTACGTTCCCAAATCGAACACACCACATCACCTGGAGTTACATTTGTTGTAATGCTTCCACTTTTAAAATTCGGTCATGTGAGTTACATTGAACATAAAACACGAATATTTCAATTGATTACATCAATTCTATGGAATTATTTAAATGAAAATGGAATCGATCCGGCACAAATTAGTTCTTTACTGTATCAATTACACAGTTGTCTGGATTCTGGACTTGTTGAACAGGTCATTGCTTGCAGAATGTCAATGAATTCACAAAGTAAAACAACATTAGATATGGAATTAATCAAACAAATATCAAATTCAGGCAGGAATATGACAATATTATCAAATTACCAGCTAGATAGGTTGGCAGATTTGAAAACAATGTGTGTGTCACCTTCATCCCACGTTGACTGTTCTGAGCAATTAAAAGAAAGCGAATCTCAAAGTTTTAAGAAATTTGAGTTGTTGTGGCATTTGGGTCGTGAAAAGAAGCCATCGAAGACTTTCGAAAAAACTCTCTTGCGACAATTTGATACATTAGCACTGCCTGTTCATGTATCTATTAGAACATTCGTAACGAAATGGCTTCAAGAAGCTTTATTGAGAGGGGATTTACAACGTTTGATTAAACCTTTAAATAGAATTTTATTATCACCAAAAACAAAACGTATAAGTATTGTTCATGTACATCTTTTGAAAAAAGAATATGATGAAAGTCAATCTGATACCAATCTCAGTCGGGATGTAGAAGATGATCCAGATGTAATAGTCGATCGCGATGTTTATGCAATTAGTTCGGAATATGGTAATGTTAAATATCATATGGATTCCAATTTAAGTAAAAAACGAAGTCCGATCAGATCATTACAAAAGAAATTTTTTGGTGTTACTTTGGGTAATAAAAACAAAACATCAAACTTTGTAAGCGATAAAGTTATTTTAACTGAGAGTGAAAGTAGCATTGGTCTAATTATAAATCCTTTGGATAATTCTCCAGATTTTAGTTTAGAAACTGATGTAAATTCATTGAGCAGTAGTGCTCCGAATAAAATGGAATCAGTTCCTGATTCGTTAGAAAAAGTCGATAATTTGAATAATAATAGCGGTAACAATGAAGCAACAGAAGCGTTAATAATTCAGAAGGATTATTTTAATTCATCAACAGAAGAATCAGATGAATCATCAAATGAATCAACAATCGACGAGTCGCGTGAAACAAGCGTCGAGAAAGAAATAACATCTTCAAGTGAAAAGATAAAAAAATTTTCTGGTGAAATCAGTCAAACATTATCAAAACTTGATCGTACGAAAAATCGAAAAACTTATCACTTAAAACAAGTTGGTATTACGGCTACTGAAACAAACAATAGCGGAGTTATGGAAAAGTTCGAAGCGAATTTTACTCAAGTCACCGATGGACAACAAATTGATGATACTGCTCATACTGCTGAAGAATATTTTAGTTCATCAGCTGAGACTACCGACAATGTTGAAAGTTTTGTAAATAATTTGATTGATGAAGTGGTTGACAATTGTGATGATTCCATCAAAACTGAATTTGAGTCTGTTAGAAACAAACCTAGTAAATCCAATTCAATAGATAGCACAAATAAAAAACAAAACGAACCAAATAGATTTATTGATAATAAAAAACGTGCTAGTTGCATATCGAAAACATCAACTGATAGCAATTTCAGTGTTGGAAGTACTAGTAATGGGCCTGATACTGATACAGGTCGACCTTCTGATTCCTTTAATTCTGCCAGTGAAAACGAGCCTGATACGTTCGAGCAAAGTGAAAAGAGTATTAATATTGAAGATAAACGCAAAAGTCTTAGTTTGGAAACAGCTAAAATAAAGGATGCTTCAGTAAGTGTAAATAACATTTTTTTTTTCTAAATATTACTTAAGCTTATTTATTTTGAATTTAAGAAAACAAACTGGGAATTAACCGAAAAAACTATGGAAAAAGGAAAACAAAATGTAGAAATTCTGCGAAAGAGTGCAGCCTTGGAATCCTTACAAACTAGTAGCAAGAAAGTGTTGAGGAGAAAGATTTCAGAAGAACGCAAGAAACACTATGATAAATTGCATCCTTTCCACACACATATTTTGCTATATCACGATGTATACGATACTCAACAAACATATTACGCTTTTCAAACTTTACGAAATATAATTTCGACAGATCCTAGAACTTTCCTTTGTTTGTCAATTACAACATCAATTTCGAGTGGAACATTAAAACAGTTATTAATTCGCCACAGAAAATGTATACTTGGAAAAGGGTTTAATGGCAGCATAGCCAACTCAGAATTCAGTCATTTATATCGGGGCTGCATGTATTTAGAAGTTCTTTTTACAATTTGTTTATATTATGCTCGCAGCTATTTTCATAAGGATGCAATTGAAGCAAATGATCCACCAAATTTAGAGGACATTAAAGGAAATTGTAAAGTACAATTAGAAAGTATTGAACTTTTAACTATGATCTGTCAGGAATTGGTAGATATAGTAAAAGGAATGGGAAAAGGTATTTTTGAAATGTTTAAATATAATAAAGTTTCATTTTTTCTGATTTTTTAACGATATTTTTAGGTTTGGCGTGTTATATAGCCGATTTAATGGCAAAATGTAAATTACAAAAAATTTTACTACATTGCGTAAATTCCTCTGTGTTGTTATTCGGAAATCAACAATTAAGAAATGCTTGCAATACCAATAATAAAATTCAATCTCAAATAAGTTTATCTGAACAAATTCTGTTATATAATTACCCTCGTGATGAAAATTTGCACGCAGAATCTTTTCAAATTCAGCTTTTGCGTTTACTTATGGCTGTGATAAAATTAGAATATGAAGTATATACATTAAAAAATGAGGAAAAACTCGATAATGCTGCCAATGGAACCAATAATAACACCACAAATTCAGGAAGTAATTTAAATAATGGTGGCTCAAACTCACCAACTAAAATGACATCTAATACAGCTGTAAATGTAAAATACTTACCAAATTCATTAATTAGTCAACAACCCATGTTTCTGTCAGCAGTGTTGAGCGCTTTACAATCGGAACAATTGAGACATTTACATAGAAATTGGAATGATTTAGTTACATCGTCGTTAAACTGTTTTAGTTTCGGTTCTTTAACAAATATTGTAATAAGTGTGGTTCATCAACTCTGTAATAATTTAGATAGAATTTCGAAATTAAATATTAAACAACAATGTAATTTTCCACCTGATTATATCGTCTCGCAGTTGGAAGCAATAACAATATTATGTCATTATTGTCTATTAGACAATACGCAACAAACAACGTTATCACACTTGTTTAACCAAGCTTATCCACAAACAAGTTCTGCAGTTCAAAGTTCTAATACTGGACAATTGCTAAACAACATTGTTCACAGTTTTTTGTCATCACAAAATAGTAGCGATAGTCAACATACGAGAAATATACAACATCTTTCCGCTAGGAACGCTGTTTTAAGTCATTTATCGAAAATTGTAGCTACTGTTGCAGCGATTTGGGATAGCGAACTAGGTCAAATACGTCAGGTAATAAAACTGAACAACCAACTTGGTCAAACCACTTTTTTATTTCTCTATCCTTATTTAGGTTAAACAACAATTGATGGAATTTCTTAGTCCTGTCTCTTTACATCACGGAACAAATTTCTTAGCAGCAGTTGCTGTTACATGGCAAGAGAGAGGTGAAATTTATAAGTATGATAATGAGAAACGGAATCAGGGTAGAAAAATATCGATAAGCGAACAATACCTAAAAAATTCCACTCCACAAGCCAGTCAAGATCAATTGAGCCTCGTTAAATTAGTTTCCAGTATTAGAGTAATGCCTATGGATTCATTTGTATCCACCTTACATCAAGTAGTAAAATCGCCACCCCCTATTCATCGACCACCCGTCGGATTAACATTAGAAGTTAGTGCACTTGAATTATTTTATTTTTATTTGAAATCCGCACCTGCACCACAACTTGGTGATTCTTGGACATCTCTACTTGCATTATTAAGAGATGGTATAAATTTGTCTCCGCCCGCACAATTTGTATTATTAATGCTATTAAATGAATTTGTGCAACGATGTCCTCAAATGCCATTCCAGGATAAAAAGGATATTCGTGATTTACATGATGTTACTTCACGTCTAATTGAAGCCCTCTCAAATGTAGCTGCCGCAGGTTTAGAACAAACAACATGGTTACGAAGAAATTTAGCAGTGAAAGAAGATATTTCACCAGTTACCCCCGATGGTAATGTTAAAGATGTTACTGGAAATCAACAATATTATGTACAGGCTCAATCAGTGCTCGCAGCCACATTAGCCAATTTATTAGATGTTGCATATGGATCACAAGAAAAGGACAAAGTAGTTAACGTTATAATAGCTTTAATGTATAATATAACACCATATTTAAAAAATCATACAACAAGAAATATTCCATCATTTTATGCCTGTTCAAGTTTACTTGCTAGTCTAAGTGGTTATCAATATACGCGAAAAGCATGGCGAAAAGATATGTTTGATTTACTTTTAGACAACGCTTTCTTTCAAATGGATCACAGTTGTTTACCATTTTGGAAGCAAATCATGGATAGTTTAATGACATATGATAATACAACGTTTCGCGAATTAATGAGTCGCATGTCATTAACTCAATCAAGTAATTTAAATATTTTTTCGTCAAAGGAACAAGAGTATGAACAAAGAGCATTACTTTTAAAAAGATTAGCTTTTGTAATATTCTGTAGTGAATTAGATCAATATCATAAGTATATGCCTGAAATTCAAGGTAAGTAAATAATTCATTTTTGAAATGATTACCATTATAATATAAGCCATTCTTATGAAATTACATATTTTAGAACAACTCGTTAACAGTTTACGACTGCCATCTGTAGTTCCAGCTATACAAGCTGCTGTATTTTTATGTTTTAGAGTTTTATTACTTAGAATGTCTCCTGATAATGTTACATCATTATGGCCAATAATTATTGCCGAAATGGTTCAAGTCTTTTTAACTATTGAACAAGAGTTAAAATTGGAAAGTGATGAGATTAGGTAAAAATTTTATTAAATAAGTGAATAAAAGTAGTGCTAATAATAGTTTAATTTTAATTTCACTGCTTGCTTGAAGAAGTAATCAAAGGTTTGTAGCATAGTTTAAAAACTAATTAGAAAAAATAATTAGATACATATATAGTTAAAAATTTATATGCATCTAACTCAGCTGCTCTAAGAAACGAACCAATATGTTACTAAAGAACATAATATCACATTTAGCACATACCATATTATTAATTTAAAATAATATTTTTTACATAAAAACAATATTATGAATTTAATATTTTAATATTAATTTGTTATATTTATTTTTTTATTATAATAGTCAACAAATGCGACTTCTATCTGGAATGGATGTACCTTGGGCGGTTAATGCAGGAAATGGTTTAACTTCACAAACTCATTTAATTCATTGGAGAGCTGTTCAGTTGGAAGCTTCAAAATTATTAGAACTTGGATGTATATTACCAGCCACAAATTTACCACATTTTCAAATGTATAGATGGGCATTTGTGGGAACAGAATTCGATGCACCAGAAAAGAAAATTCCTATACCAAATGGTAATGTAGATGAAACTCAATTATTTGCTGGAATATATGTACCACATGTAAGAAGGATAGCTCGATTAATGGATATGAAATATACTGTACATTCACCAGTAAGATTTTACATAACATTTTTATTAAGAAAAAATTCATTTTACAATTTTTACTTTAAATATTTTAATAATTTCTCTTTTAGAAAACTGAATTCAAGCGTGGAAATCATTTAGTATTAACATGTCAACAAATTACAAGTTTACAAGATTTATATGGTTTCTTTTTAACATTAAGTGTTACTTGCCAAACACAACATAATTTTGCTGATACCAGTAAAGAAGTTTCAAGTTGTTTAAATGAAATTGAAGAAGTTTTATCAAAAGATTTCCTTGAAAAAATGCCAACAAGTACAATAACGCCGAGATGAAACCCAATTATATTAACAAATTCTATAATAAATAATAAGAATCTTTATAATTTCACAAATAATTCAATGAAATTTAATTCAAATAATTCGCCGTTTTTTGTGTAAAAAAAAAAAAAAGTAATCAGCTATTTTAATTATAAAACAAAAAAAAAAAAAACTGTTTTTATATGTAAAAATTAATTATAAAACAAAAAAAAAAAATATTGTCTATATTGTAATCTTTAAATCATAAATTAAAATTTCGATTGATTTTACAACATCAAAAATAGAAATTCGTGTGTATACAAAATGTATTTACCTATAATTTTATTTTCGGAGATTAACTAAATAAACTAATTATTTTAATTTGTGGAATAATAACATCAATGAATATATTTGAAATATATTGATAAATCTATATGATTATATTGAATATGATAATATTAATTTAGATTTTTATCCTCACTTTTTTTTTACTTGTATAAAACTAAATTAAAATCGCTTAGATAAATTACATTTTAGTTAAAAACAAAAAAAAAATTTTTGTAATAAGTTTTTTAATTTGATTATTTTTTCTTTTTTTTTTGTTTTCTCATTTCAATTAGGTGGAATCAATTAAATTTGCATAGCAAAAAATATTTAATTTTAAGATAAAGAAAATGTTACAAAAAGGAAAAAGGACAAAGGAGGAAAAAGTTTTATTATCTTTAAAAATTTAAAAATTTCCCAAAAAGAAACATTCAAAAAAAAAATTTGTTTGAATACAATTTCTTTAAAAAAATATAAAAAAAAGATAATGCTAATCTCTTGAATTTTTGATTTTACACTATTAAGTGTCGTACATTGGCTCTAACAGAAAAACATATTGTAATAAAATGATATTACTAATATTTTTTTTTCGCAATATTTCTAAAAATAAATATAAAATAAAGACTTTATTTAATACCATTCCAAATTAATATTACAGACCACAAAATCATATTTTTTCGACATTATTATATAAAAACGATTAGATTGTTTTGAAATATTTTTTGTTCAGAAATTACAACGATATCATTTTATTTACAATATTTTAATTGAATAATTAACTAATTAGTTTAATTTAAAATTCTAAATACTTTTCATTTTATCTTTTGTTCTTTTTTTTTTATTTGAAAATGAGTCTTAAAAAAATTCTACATGTATTTGAAAATTTTCAATTTTAATTTTCAATTTTTTGATTTAAATTGTATGTTTTTAATTGGAACCATTCATAAACAAAATATTAAATATCAAATATGTATAACAATATAATAAATAATAAATGAAAAATATTTATGTATATAAATTATTGTAATATTTTAATTTAAACAAAACAAAAAAACAAGAAAAATATGTGTAAATTTTATTAAAAATAACAAAAAAAAAAAAAAAACAAAAATTGATATGTGTTACAAAAATAAAAGTAATTATATTCTTTAAAAAATTTTTTTGTTATTACTTACATTTTTTCTTTTATTTTATAGGTTCTTCAAAATATGTAGACTTTGAAATTGATTCATTCGGGTTTTCTTTTTAATTACATTAAATACTGGATCAAGATTAAAAAACAGATGTTCAGAGCCGACTTTATTAAGTAATATCTAAAACTGATATCTCATGATCCAAAAATTTTCTTTTTGAAAAATTTCAACATTTAACCGCCCATAAAAAGTCTTTAATTTCAAGATTTTGCTTATAACAAGTTTTCATTAAATAAGTTTTTCATTAAAGCACAATTTAATAAATACAAAAATCTAAAAATTCACAATCGGACTGTATATTTATTTTTATTCTTTTTTTTTTAATATTTACGGATAAAACAGTCAAATCTTCATTAAAAATTATAGCAATCAGTGGACCGAATTTATTTCATTTTCATATACAGACAACACTAAATGACATAGATTTTATATACGCCCTTCTTTATAGAAAAACAAAATAAAAATACTGATTTTCAAAGAGAAATTGTTTTTTTGTTTTTACTACGATACACCATAGTTAATTTATAAATTTCACATGTTGTTAGCTAATATATAAAAAAAAAAATAAAGTGATTTGGTGTTAAGAAAATATGTGCATTTTTTACCCAGGAGCATTTTGAATTTTAAATATTTTCAAAGTTAATAATTATTTAAGACTGTATTACAAATTACTATTTAGCTATTATAAATGTAATTTTGATTTATTTAATATTTGGACTTTGTTCCTTTTTGTTTCTCTAACTCGTTCAAAAACCAAAATCAAATATCTTTTAAAATAATATCACTTTATTTCTATCAAATATATAATTTTATGGCTTATAAATTAATATCGACTTTTGTTATTAAAATGTGTTTTTGAGTTTTCTTTTCAGAAATTGTTGAAGCAGGCATAGATTCTTTATATTATTGAATTACTTACTTAATAGTTAAGAACAAGTTTTAATGCTTTTGTAATTTTTCAAATAAATTAATTAAAATTAAATTTCATAATTTAAACAAAAATTATATTAGATTTTGTTTTATCATTTTTGTTAATAAGATGTAAAAAAAATAATAATTCAAAGTAAAATTACAATTAAAAACAAATTTTTATTTAGGCCGGGTGCAATTATTTTTGTACAATAATTACAAAAGAGAATTTCTTGCTTTTTAAATAACACTGAGGTTGACATGTCTATACTTATATATATGTATATAAATATGATATATATATATATGTAATTATTTCATCAAATTTATAAAATAAACGTAAAAAAGAAAGAAATAACAAAATTTTTTCCTGAAAAAATAAAATTGTATGTAAGAACTTAGGGTATTTTTTTTTATTGCAATAATTTTGTATAGGAAATGAATTATTAAAAAATTGTATCCATTTAGATACATAAATGAAAATAATTGCCAATAAATAAATATTTCATTTGCTTTATTTTTGAATTTCATTGAAAATTCAAAAATCTAATAATTATATAAATGCATATGTACATAAAATTTTTATTGAATCGTTTTGGGCAAAAATTAAATACCATTTTCACTGAATTATGGGAAAAACCCTCTATTCAATATTTTAAATATTTTGAAATAATTTGGGAAAAATATACGAAAATATTAGGTTTTTTCATAAAAGCCATTATATTTGTCCATAAACATGTCTAATTTTTTACAATATAGCAAAATTAGTATGAGTAGCGCAATTAAATCAAATAAACTGTTTTATTATTATAAAATAATTGCAAATACAAATATATTGCATGTTCATCACGTAAGGATTTTGCAGTATTGCGTTTGCGAAAAACTCTATTATTTCACTATTATTCATTGCAATATTTAGATTGTAAATTAAAAAAAGAATATTTTATTTTCCAAAATATTGCAGTCACTAAGGTGGTAGGTTTTTTTTTTCTATGAATAGCCAAATATTTTAAATAAATTTTAATAAAATATTTTTGTTGTGTTGGATAGAAGGTTTTCCGCATAAGCAATTTTATAATTAGTGTTTATTTTTTCAGTATTATTTAAAAATAATTTAATTTTGATTATTATAGAAAGAACCATGTACATTTTTTCCATTTTTCTTTAATTTTATGTTGGAATTCGTTCCTTCCTACCACGACCGTGTTTATATTAATTTATAGGTAAAATAGAAACTTATTTATTTTCTTAAAAAAAAAAATCATTTGGTTGCATAACTAATTACTTGTTTTTTGTTTTTAAGAAGAAAAGATATTCTTTAAATTATTTAAAAAATTATTTATTTATAAAATTTTTTATATGTATGTTGATTAAATGTAATTTTAAAATAAACTTTTCAAACGAATTTATTGATTTTGATAGCATTTTTCTATTATAATTTAAAAATTGTCAATTCTAAACTTTTTGCGATATTGAGTAATGAGAAATATTATGTGTAGATATTCCTCATTTTAGTTAATGTTAAGATAATATTTTTAACTGTAGGTTATTATTATTTTTCTTTATATGTAGAGTATAAATTTTTTAATTTCTTTTTTTAAATAAATTACTATTTCCATCATCATACTTTTATTACCTTATTAACTTATGGCCTCTAAAAATTTTCTTCATTAAAAATTATTTTTCTTCTTTTTGTTTAATTAAATATAAGCAAAAAAACTAAGTAAAACATAATTATGTAGCTTAAAAAATTATTTCTTAACAAAATGCCACAAAAACTTATTGCCTTGAAATCATTTTAAGGACGTTATATTTGTTATTTTGATGAAAAAAAGTTTATATTCGAATATTCAAGCGGGTTTATTATGCGTTTAGAAACATAATAATAAGCAGTAATTTTTTAATTTTAAAAGGTTAATTTTTTTTTTTTTTATATTAGATATATAAACGTATGTATATAAGATAAAATTTTCATATGATTACTAACAATAAAAAAAATCAATATAATTTAAAAGGAAGCGTACGATATACACACTTATTTTTAATTTTGTTTTGTAAAGATCTCTTCCTATGCGAATTATTATATTTATTAATCGATTTGAAAACAGCTATAAAGATTAAAAATATTATTTTTTCTAACTGAACTAGAGCTAGGACTATATTTTTGAGCTACAGGCACTCTTTCTACAAATTTTTTTGGTATGCCAATTGATAAGAGATCACCTTCAGTATATCTATCTAAATTTGGATTGTAGTATGTTATCGCATCCCAACACATTTCACTTAATTTCGGTATAGTTGTCCACATTTTAAATAGGTCATTTGTTCTGCTTAAATCATTTACTAATTCTATACCACCAAATAAATACATACATCCATTTCCAGATGTTGATGCCGAATGAAAATACAGAGGATTTGGTAACTAAAATAAAATAATAAAAATATTATTTTAAAAGATTAAATATATATTTCAAAATATAAAACCTTAGCAGTTCTAATTAATTTCCATTCCATATTTGAAAACGTAAGTTTCCATATATCAGAAAAAGCATTATCATTTTCCGTATATCCGCCGGCAATGACTGCTTCAATTCCTTTTTCTGTTTTATACTGAATACATGAATAACATTTTCTTGATTCAGGATATCCACCGTTTACTTTAAGAGTAACATCAGGTTTAGTTTTAAACATATCCCAAGTGTTTGTTTTTAAATTGAATGCAGGAATTTCTTTTAGACTATATGCAGTTATTGATGTACCACCACCTAAAACATAAATATGAGTCCCATCATAAACAATTTCATGACGGTAACGTCCTTTCGGATCATCTTCCCTTCTATCTGGTTGGCAAATATAGAGCATTTCCCAAGTTTTTGTATATAAATCTAAACGATAAACATCACAGGAATAATCATAGCCAGTTGTACCACCTATGGTGTACAACCATCTATCATGAACTACTATAGCTGGTCCATACATGGGCGTTGGTAAATCACCACTAACTTTCAATCGTTTAACAAACGGTTTTTTTATGCTGAAGAAGTGGGTGTTGTTTGAACAAGCTTGCCCAAATGGATAACCTGTTCCCCCATAAGCCTGCAAATAATAAAAAAATTACCGAATCATTTAGTAACTAAGTAAATGTACTTTATATTTTTATCTTTCCGTTTAAAATATTTTATTAACATTTACAACTTAAAATAATTTCTCAATTAATATAAAAGAAAAAAAAATATTTAAATAGTGAGACCTTGAAATTAAGAAAATAGCTCAAAATCTCTTTTGTATAAATTAGGTTTACTCGATAAATTATAAAAAAACATTTAATATCCGATACAAAGGTATGTGAGCAAAACCTAAATTAAAACCAGTTGTAACCTTCTACCATTTATCAGGTAAACAAATCTTACTCGCAAATAACTATATATACGTAATACGTAATATGTACATATACATGTATAGGAGAACAAGCAGAACGAAGCAAAAAGAAAAATAAACAAAAACAAGGTTTTTTAGCTCTCCCCGCGGACTTTTATTTATAGTATCAAATTAAACAGCTGTACACTTGTAAATGAAGATTCAACAAAATAAATACGTCATAATATTTACATCGCGCAATAACATTTTTTTTTCTATCTATACTTACAATCAATACGTCATCGTGAATTGTGACTGCATTACTTGCTAATTCTTCTGGCATATCTTTCACCTTGTGATCCATCTTTTTTGTCCATCTTCTTGTTACAAAATTATATTCCCATAACTCACGAAACAGTAAACGGGATATATTTCCTCTATTAACATGAGTTAAATTAAAGCCACCCAAGCAATATAAATTAGAATTTGAGCATACTACTCTATGACCACTGCGAGGGCTTGGATATTCAGAATTTCTTATATCACCACAATAATTGATTTTTACTATTTCATAAGGTCTAAATGTATACGATGTACTTCTAGCATCATCACAAAAATCCCAATCCATTTTTTCATTATTACCTTGTTCTGTTTGATTTTCATTTTCACTTATTGTTTCCATTATAAAAAATTTTATAATATGCTTAGATAATAATTTTATTAAAAAATATATTACACTAAAAATAGTTTTTATCATAACAATTTCCCCAATTTAAACTTGGGCCACGTTTACTTTTAAAATAAAAATCTTTCAATACGTAACTATATATTTTGTTTCCAAACTTCAAAAGAAAATATTTTTTTAAATAAAAAATAAAAGATACTTCCACGCGTTTATTACGCATAAAAATTTTAAATTTTAATTTTTCTTTTTTTGTTTCTGCTCAAAATTTTGACAATTTTTTCTTTCAAATGGCATACCAACTGATTTCGCTCAGCTGATTTAAGACATTTTCCCATTCACAATGGTATTCCAAGCCGAATTATTGTGAATATTTAATTTCTTTATATTTTATGTACCTAAATATTACCCATAAAATATTTAATTATTTTCCCTTTAATGAAATTAATAATAAATAAATAAATTCGAAAATTTATTATACAAGCAATAATGTAAATATACAAGTTTTTTACGCAAGTTCATATGTTTGTTCATTGATCTACGGTAAATAACTAAAGGAAATTTCAAGAAATTTCTATTAATTGACTATAATATTTCGTCTTCGAATGTCGGTTTTCAATCTAATTTTTGTCTTATTTATTGATTTCTTATTTTGATTATAAAAAAAATGATTCAAAGAATTAAAAATATTTGTTTCATTTATCTGCTAATTGTAGTAGAAACTGATGTTTTTTTATTATGAGTTAAATCCACGAAATCAGAAACTTATTAAATTTATAAGTTTTATAAAATCATTTCACTTGTCTACTGTTATATGAGAATTGGTAATGAAAATATGATTTTAGGGATAAATTGGAAAATTTGCCTTATATTTTCGTTAAATAAAACTAATTTATGCAAATAGAAGAAGAACTACTTTTCTGTCACATTCTAAGATACTAAGAATGTGACAGAAAAGTAGTTTTCTTAGTATCTTAGAATGTGACAGAAAAGTAGTTTTATTAAATTTAGGTTTTTAATTGGTTTTAGCTCATATCGAATATTTCTGAATTCTTTAGAGTATATGCTAAACAAAAAATGAATTTTTTCCACATTTCGCTTTGCTGGAATTAAGTTATGTTGTTTTACACTAAATTGCTAAATACTAAATTTTTGAAAATTTTGTATTTAGCTGGCAAGGCTGTGTTGATTTTGACAAGAAACCAGGCAGAAAAATCAAAAAGTTTATAGATTATAGGAAGGAGTTTGATTTTAGTTTGTTGATACAAAAAATAAAGATATTTCATGTTTTGTTAGTGGTAAAAGGAAAAAAAAATATTTGAAAGCATCGCATTAAAACTATAAGAAGTTAACTTAATTTAAAATGGCATTAATTTGCGCAAGTAAGAAAATTTTTAACAAAATACATTTGATTTTATAAATTTTGAGGTTATCGGCACTTTAACAATTTTTTTTAGTTACAAACGAAGTTCCAGATGTCCCAGTAGTATCACCCGTTTCAGGAGCAATTTTTGAAAAGCGAATTATAGAAAAATATCTTTTAGAAAATGGGTGCGATCCAATTAATGGAAAAGAATTAAAAGCAGAAGATTTGATAGAAATTAAAACGCCGCCCATTGTTAGACCTAAGCCGCCAAGCGCAACTTCAATTCCCGCAACACTGAAAACAATGCAAGATGAGTGGGATGCTTTGATGCTTCACGCGTTTACCCAACGACAACAATTACAAACCGCTCGTCAGGAACTAAGTCATTCTCTTTACCAACATGATGCCGCTTGTCGTGTAATTGCTCGCTTAAATAAGGAAGTAGCGGCCGCAAGAGAAGCCCTAGCAACACTTAAACCACAAGCTGGTATATCTACGGCAACAGCTGGTGCGACAAATATTCCACAACCCGCAATTGCTTCAGAAGCGGGTGGTGTTGCAACGCAGCCAATAGAGCAAGCTGGTATGAGTGCCGAAGTTATACAAAAATTACAGGACAAAGCAACCGTATTAACGCAAGAGCGAAAAAAACGTGGTCGTACTGTACCAGAGGAATTAGCAACCCAAGAACAAATAAAATCGTTCTTGACAGTAGCATCACATCCAGGATTGCATTCGGCATCGGTTCCAGGCATTTTAGCCTTGGATATAAATAGCTCCGATAACAGCAAAATTTTAACAGGCGGAAACGATAAAAATGCTACAGTATTTAATAAAGATACAGAACAAGTGGTTGCTATACTGAAAGGTCATGCTAAAAAAATAACTAAAGTAATATATCATCCAGATGAAGATACTGTAATAACTGGTTCTCCTGATGCAACGATTCGCATTTGGAATGTACCCGCTTGCCAAACTCAGTTACTTTTGCGATGTCATGACAGTGCGGTTACGGGTTTATCTTTACATCCTACAGGGGACTATGTCCTTTCAACATCTTCAGATCGTCATTGGGCGTTCTCTGATATTCGCACCGGTAGACTTTTAACTAAAGTAATAGACACAGCCGAAGTTGGCTTAACAACTGCACAATTTCATCCTGATGGCTTGATTTTTGGTACTGGTACTGATGATTCTCAAGTAAAAATTTGGGATTTAAAAGAACAAAGTAATGTCGCGAATTTTCCGGGTCACACCGGTCCGATATCGGCGATTTCGTTTTCAGAAAATGGTTATTATCTCGCTACAGCAGCAGATGATGCTTGCGTTAAATTATGGGATTTGAGGAAATTAAAAAATTTCAAGACTATTCAATTAGATGATGGATACGAAGTAAAAGATTTATGTTTTGATCAAAGCGGAACATATTTGGCTATTGCTGGGACGGATGTTAGGTAAATTATTTTACAAGTTTTTATTAGCCTAAGATTTTTGTGAAATACGAGCATTTATTCTTATTTCAGAATATATCTTTGTAAACAATGGCAAGATTTAATAATTTTCAATGACCACACAGCGTTGGCTACTGGTGTTAGATTTGGAAAACATGCCCAATATTTGGCCTCTACTAGCATGGATAGAACCTTAAAATTATATGCAATTGAATAGACAATAAAAAGTCGAAAATCTATTTGTATTTAAGTATAACCAATAATAAAGCTTGTAAAAGTAAACTAAAATCACCATTTTTTGATTTTCCATGACAACATTATAAACAATTTTATGTTAGCTATTTACCACTCTACGTAATTCATATAACTAGTTAAAATTTAAAATTTGGTGTTTAAAAAAAACTTTAAAATGTTTTGGGGATTTAGTGAATCCATGGATTTTTTCGAAGAATATCAAAAAGCAGTAAACAAAGATGTTGAAGAACTTAATATACTTTTGTTTGGCACAGGAGATCCCCGAAATATTTTGCACACCATTGCTAAATCCTACAAACATTCTACAAAATTAAACTTTTATTTACTAGATGGATGCGCGGAAATTGTTGGAAGAAATATGTTGCTACTTCTTCTAGCATTTGAAAGTTTAGAAGTTTTTTCTCTAAAAAATAAAACACATACTTACATGGACATTTTTGGAAACTCATTGGTGCGACCCTCTTCGTGTGCATACATAGCAAGTAAATCGGAAATACTACGGAAAATTATATCAGACGAAGAAGAGAGGAATAAAATGGCGCCTATGTTTGATATAGAGAGTTTAAAATATCGTGAAAGAGATAATTTAGAAAATACTTTCTTATTTTGGCTTCCCAAAGAAGACCATGTTTTTAATATCTCACGCTATTGGGAAAAACAAAACAGGCAGCTGCTTGGAACAAGATATGATTGCCGTAAGGGGGTTTTCGATTGGGACTTAACAATGAATTTAAAAGAGTCGGGAGCAAAACAAATTTCCTCTCAAGAATATCGTTATTGGCGAGATACAGGAATCGCCTTCGTATTTCCAGAATACGAACAATGTCAACCAAATAAAACTATGGTAGCTGGTCTTATTAGAAATGGTTTGGTAAAATAATTCAGATTATTTTTTGTTTTGTATGTTAAAATAATAAAAATTTTCAGAAATTTTTGCATCGCGGTTATATTGGAGATCAAGAAACTGGGCCATTTTGTTGCCATGGCTTAATTTGTTCTGAACCTGATATGGTTAAAGAAAGCTATGGAAAACGGGATTATAGAGCAACTGATATAACCGAAATTAATTTATACGGACTTTTTCATGAAATTCAACATAAAACACTATATATCTTAGATAAAAATCACGCCCATAAATTGGGTGCAAATATTTTATTATTGAACAAACCCCTTTCTGGCGTGCAAGATGAAAACATACAGTTGAAACAATATAACCAACCATCATTAACTCTACCAAATATAAAAATTATATTTCTATCCGGAGACTTTCTAACAAATTTAAGTTTGGACGGAACCAAATTTCAAAATTTTTTTGATGTTGTTTTTATAACTAACAAATATTTTCCACTCTTGCAGCAAGACTTAGAAAATGTCTTGACAAAAAATTCATTAATAATTTTTGAAACAAAACAATATACCTTAGAGAGACAAGAGGGGAAAACTGAATTTTTGGCAAATATTAAAAAGTTCGCAAAAGAAATTAATTTAAAAAACATAACAAATTTTAATATTAATATTGATTATTCTGTTGTAAAATACAAGACCGAAGATTAAATCTAAAAATTATATTAATAATTATCTACATAAACATATGTACATAATTATTTTGGAAATTGAATTTTTATAATACTTATGTTGAAGAGGCAATTTGTTTCAAAGGACCTTCTAAATAAGAAGATAATGCTATAGCTTTTTGTCGCAACATTCCAAGTCCGACTGACTGCTTTGCATATAAACATAAAAGAATATTTGCTACCTAAAATAAATGAAAAATATTAGTTTCTGTAAAATATAATTATTTATCACTTACCTGTGTTATGGCGACATGTCCTTCTTCGCATTCTAAAAGGACAAAATTTAAACGATCATCTCTTAATACATGAGTTCCATGTCTTTCATATGCAGACCAGATATTGCTGGCAATGGCTGCGGTTACTCTAGCGTCTCGACTACCATATCCAGAATAGGCCAAAAGTGCGCCTTCTTGACTAAGTAACCTGTAACAAAAGTTATAGTTACGGAGCACAAATATATATTAAATGTTATTACAATGTATTTTCTACTCCGCCTGTATTAGCTTGACTTAAAACTTGTGTTAAAGCTTTAGGTTTTAACATTATTGTTTTTACAAAATTTATTTGAGTTCAATGGAAAGGAAAGTAAAGTTTTTATTGAAATAAAATTAATCATCTGTTTTACATTGGATAGGAAACGATTCTCGATCTTAACCTGGGTACACACATTTTAATATATTGTGTTATGGAGTGAGTCAATATTAATTTGTACAAATTGTAAAACGATTGGAGTCGTTAAAACGTGTGAGAGTCTGAACTTCATTACTATAGAAGAAAACATAGGGGCTTCCTATTTTCCGTTATCGCACATCATTAAATTTATTTAATAGAACTTTAATTATGTGATCAAATAAAATTTTGACGTATAAAAATTACATATCAATTCAAAACATAGTGAGTTTTTAAGAGCGGTAACACTTAATATTTCAATAATTTTTATTTTTGTGGCTTTTACTTTTTTATTTAAAATACAATGGTCACTCTTGAATATCATATGTTAATTAGACAGCATAAAAATAAAATATGGTACAACATAAATAGTAAACAAATTGCACGTTTTTAGAAATAACAAAATGTTAAAAAATATATTAAAATTAAATTATAAAATACTTTGCATTAAGAATGTTGGATATACTCCAAGCAAATCTAATTCACTATTAATAAGGTATTTGAAAACAGAGTACTCGACATTACCGAATATTACAAATGAAGAGCAAAATGATATAAAAGATTCAAAAGTGACAATAGATAAAGAAAAAATGCTTAAAATATTGCAATTAGAAGTAGATGTAGCTCGTCAGGAAGGTAGAAGAGTCCCAGATCCAACTTCAATCAAAGAGGCTCAATGGGATCATTTATTAAATTTAAAGAGTCGTTCTGCTAGAATCAAGTATTATGCTTATTTATGGCAATTAGAAAAAAAACGTGAAAGTAGAGAAATAAAAAAAATACAAAAAAGAGAGGAAATAGCTGAGAGAAGAGCCAGATTAACTGAAGAGAATCAGCAAAATGAACACATAATATATGGAATTGGTCATACAACTTTTTTGTTACGTGTATATGATACAACAATTAATAATTGGCAAAACAACAAGTAAATTTTGATGTACCTAGTTCTAAATTTTCAAATTTATAAGCTTATTTTTAGGTTGATAAATGCTATGAAATTTGGAAGCAAAATTGTGTTAGATTGTGGATTTGATGATAATATGAATAAACGTGAGGCTTCTAATACGGCAAAACAATTAATGTTACTTTTTGCTGACAATAGAATTCACGATGATCCATTTGATCTTCATTTTTGTAATGTGAATCTAAACAAAGACCTTATGAAAGTTTTACAAAAACATATACCGACTATATTTGAACCGTCTTTTCCACTAAATGTTCACGAAAAATGCTTCACTGAAATATTTCCCAAAGAAAGAATTGTTTATTTAACGCCTCATTGCAAAACTGAATTACATTCATTTAATCCTGATGATATCTACGTTATTGGTGCTATTGTAGACAAAGTAATATTTTTATAATAATGCCTATAATATTTATTAATAAATATTTTTTAGGTAAATAATGATCCTTTATCATTAGCAAAGGCTAAACGATTGGGCATAAGAATGGCTCGTTTACCATTAGACAGGTATTTGACTTGGTCTTCCGGATCAGGAAAGTCATTAACTTTAGATCAAATGATAAATATCATGTTAGATATTAAAACAAAAAATGATTGGAATAATGCTTTAAGACATGTGCCTAGGCGAAAAATAGTTAATGATTGGCAACAAAAATCAAGAGAGGAAAAAGTAAAAATTAGGGCCAAAAAATTTGAATTTGATATTTCAACTTGGGGTGATTCTAAAACTTCAGATCAGAAAAATCCATTCAAAAATTAATTTCAACGTTAATTTATAATGTTATAAGTTTTAATAAAAATTTCTCTTCACTTATATTTTTTTATTTTTAGTTTACTTAAAAACATATGCAATTATTTTAATTTCGCCTTCTACGTACTCGAGATATTCTCCAAGCATTTGGTTCTTCATATTTATTGTATAAAGGTTCTAAACGCTGATTTTTCTTGAATTTACTTAATTTAGTTGGATCAGAGAATTTAAAAAATGATGGAGCAAATTCAACCAGCCATTTTGGATCAATCGTAGTAACTTCTCGCATATATTCCTTTGTTGTTTGAACCAATTCGTGATAAACTACCCATTCAGGTTGACGATTAAATAATGCACTTGATGGATGTATGTATACAACTTGTGAGTCGACCAAAGTTCGATAACCCTCTTGAGGATCTTTTTTGGCAGCATTTCTAAAGAATCCTGAACAAATCGCTTTTTGAATACGAACTGTGTTCTTCCCAGCTGAAACTACATCCAATTTATGGCGATCCATTATGCCTAATAACTGCTTACGAACATCTTGTGCTCGCTTTAAAGTTCTAATTTGCACAAAATTTTCATAACACCATGGATTTGAGAATTTATTATTTTTCCAACTATTGTAAACTGCTAACAAGGTTAAATGATCACCTTCTATTTGATTGAACTTTGCTTTTTTTTGATCGGCGACGGACTGCTTGTCTTTTGGTCGATAAAATACGTTTTGTACACTAAGCATAGATACGATGGTTAAAATCTCGTCAGAGCACTGTAAAGCAACCGACATTATTAACATTTTAGAAAGATTTGGTTCCAACGGAAATTCTGCCATCCGGCGACCTAAGCGTGTTAATAATCCTTCATCATCTAAAGCAGATAGGGAATGTAAAATTTCTAAAGCCATAACAAGTGATTCTACAGGCGGGGCGTCCATAAAATCGAAGTGCAATAAATCATTAATTCCCATTGTTTTAAGCTGTAAAACGGTTGTAGCTAAATTAGTTCTTTGAATTTCGGGAACAGGTGTGGGTAACATTTCATCGCGATAAGCACGTTCAGTATAAAGACGATAACATTTTCCAGGACCAGTGCGTCCTGCTCTGCCCGCTCGTTGTTTCGCAGCGGCTTGTGAAATTGGAGTAACAATCAAGGAATCCATTCCTGTTTTAGAATTATACACCTTTTGCTTTACAAATCCAGGATCTACAACGTAAAATATTCCATCGATAGTGAGGGAAGTTTCAGCAATGTTTGTAGCAATGACGACCTTGCGACTTCCAGGAGGTGCTGGATCAAAAATTCTTGTTTGCATTTCTGATGGTAAAGCAGAATAAACTGGTAGTATTATTAACTCTGGAACATCTGGACCTAAACTTTTCATTCTTTCATATAGGATTTCACAAGCGGTGTCGATTTCTTCTTGTCCAGTTAAAAATAATAGGATATCACCAGGAGGTTCTCTTAGATGAATTTGCATGACTGTTATTAACGACGCATCTAAATAATCAGTTTCTGGTTCCTTAGTATATAGAACTTCCACTGGAAATGTTCGACCAGGGATAGTGAAAATTGGTGCCTCAAAAAAGTATTGCGAAAATTTTACTGCATCAAGAGTGGCAGACGTTACAATCAATTTTAATTCCGGTCTTTTTTGTACAGCTTGTTTGAGTAACCCAAATAAAACGTCCGTGTGAATTGTTCTTTCATGAGCTTCATCCAACATAATCACCGAATATGATTTAAGATCCAAATCAACAAGACACTCTCGGAGTAACATACCATCTGTCATGTATTTGATAACAGTCTCTGGGCTTGTGCAGTCTTCAAAACGAATAGTATAACCAACTTCCTGTCCTAAACGACACCCAAATTCTTCTGCCACCCGTTTAGCCACTGACATAGCCGCCACACGACGAGGCTGTGTGCAACCAACTTTTCCTCTTGCTGTAAAGCCACATTCTGCCAAGTACTGAGTAATTTGAGTAGTTTTACCTGAACCAGTTTCACCAATAACAATGAGAATTTGATTGTCAGAAACTGCCTAAAAATTAAAATTTATTTTATAATTTGGACAGAAATTGTTAAATGTGAAAAAAATAAAAATTTAACATTACCTTAATTAAATCGTCACGTAATTTATAAATTGGTAGAGACTGCCTTTGTTCAACTAAAGACATATCAGTTTTCTTTCCAAATGAGGACTTTTTTCCTCCGATGATATGCTTTTTCCATTCTGGAACCTCTTGCGGAGCCATTCCTACTCCTCGTACATTAGCCGCTAAGGTACGGCTCTCCTCTGTAACAAATAAATTTAAAGTAAATTCATAATTTACTGGTGAAAAATTATCACAAGAAAAATCTTGCATACCTTCAGGTAGTGGGTCGATCCAGTTTTTATTTAAACCAGTAGGGATCGTATCCATTTCTTGTTCCCGTTGTAACATTTTTTGTTCTCTTCTTTCTTTTGATAAAGCGGACTGCATCATAGCAGCTTGCGCTAAAGACCCATCAGGATTTTTTACTATTCGAACAGGGGATAAATCATGTAAAGCACGGCCGTGGCCCTGCAGAAAAGGGGGCTCTTCTTCTACTATTTCGATTTCTATATCTTCCTCATCATCTTCGTCTTTAGGTAAAAGACCGGTTTCTTCATCAAAATCTGGCAACTCACTTCGATCAATGACACCTGATGAAATCATTTGTTTAATTTCCCAGCGTTCTGGACTTGATATTCTGGTAACTCGTTTTCGACTTTCATCTTCCTCAGCATCTCCACCAGTACCCTGCAAATGCAACATAGATGTCCCTCCAATAGGTCTATCTGGGTTTCTGTCTAAGGATTCATTTAAATCAGGTGCGTGTGATAACGGATTCAAGTCCCGCCCAGTTTCTTGATCTACGTCTTTCATTGACAAAGATACTTTTTGTCCAACAATTGAAAGGACTTTCACTTTAACAGAATTGCCGCGATTAACAACCTCATTAACATCACTTACTCTTCCTTCAGATCGCAATTGCGATATGTGCACTAATCCTTCCCATCTTTTTCGCAAGCCGAAAAGATGAACAAAGCAACCAAATGGAACAATATTGGCAACTTTCCCAGAGTAAATCTTTCCTGGTTCTGGATCGTCTGGCATTGGAGTTGGACTACGTCGTTTTACTTTATATGGCGCTGGGGAACGACTAGATCTTCTTTTACAATCCCTGTTATTTCTTCTGTCATTTGACCGGCTTCTTCTGCGATCACGGGATCTACTTCTTCGTCTTGGAGATCTACTTCGTCGTCTTGGGGACCTACTTCTTCTACGATCACGACTCCTCGACCTTCTTCTCTCCCTTGATTTACTTCTATATTTTTTATCTCTTGAACGGCTTCTTCTTCGTTCTTTGTCTCTATTTCGTTCTCGTTCTTTATCTTTGTATATACTTCGTTTTCTGTCACTTTTTTCTCTGCTTTTACTTCGAGTTCTTGAACGTTTTCTATCTCCATGCTTTTGCTCCGTTTTATTCTCTTCTTTTTTTGCAGTCTGGCTTGGCGCTAATGCTTCAAGCTCCGCCATAGCATCATCTATAATTTTTTCTTCGAGTTCTTCTTTTTCTTGATCGATGACAACTTTCGGTTTTGCGTTTGGAATAGCTAAACCAGGAAATTTCATGGCAAGTTTGTCTTTTTGCTCTATTTCGTCCAATAATTCAAAAGAATCTTTGGCTTCCTGTGAGTTAGAAGATCTAGCTGAAGGTTTCATCAATTGTATAATACGTAATAAATTTGTAATAAAAGAATCTGGAAATTCAGCTCCATTTTCTAAAAGAACTTTTTTAAATGACTCAAAAGATTTATTTTTTTCTGCCAAATCAATTATAAACTCAGCTAAAATACAAAAAATTTTAATTAAAATTTTTTTTTCTTTGTATTTAAAAGAAAATTTAAGCTTACCTAAATCTTTGTCATTTAATCCTAAGTGGTTATCGAGTTCCGTACATATTTTAGAAACCAAGGAAAGGTGCTCTAGTTTCTGTAATTCTTCCATGTTTATTGAAACTTGGATTGGAAGAAAAAGCTTCTAAACTTAAACGTATTATTTTTTTATTTCTTAATGTTTACAAAAAATTTGCTTTTACCTACAATGAGTGAAAGTTGTCAAATTTATTAAAACTTCCAAAAGTGACTTTTTAAATAAATATAAACCGCTAAAAGAATTGGTAACATTTTTTTCACAGTAAAAGCACTGCATTTTCTGTGTACATATATCAAAAAAAAATTCAAAAAATTGATGATTTCGCAATTAAAAATTATTGTCTTAATTTATACTTTTTCCAATATTAACTTGATATAGTTTTTAGTACTTTCAACATATTTCAGATGTAGCTTTCAGATTCTAATGCATATTCCAAATCTTGCGAATTCTGAGATTAAAATATTGAGTTATAATTCCAATAACTCTATATTTTAATATACGTGTGGCATACTAAAATTTTGTGGACTTGTGGATTTTGTGACTGTGGCCGAAATTTTTCTAAAATAATCACCCTGACATAGTTTTTGAAACATGCTACGCGGCCGCAATCATTTGTTCAATTTTGCTTTTAAATTATCACTGTTATTAATAATTATTAGTGTTATTAATTTCCAAAATATGTTTTCTATAAACCACATTTTAAGAGCGATTAATATGCATTTTTTTATTGAAGTTAATCAAGCTACTAAGAAAAGAAAATAGTATGAAATTGCAAAAGATTCGAAATATTGGAAATATGGAATTTCAGGTAAATCGAAACATTGAAAATTTGGAAGTTCATGCAGGTGTAATGCAAAAATTATTAACAAACTTTTGAAAAATATTGTAAGGAGCAAATTGTTTTTTTTTTTTTTTTATTTTAGTGAAAATTCTTAAATGTAAACACTAATCGACTTGACGATAAAAACGATTTCTATGAAATTTGACAATTTCCATTCAAACAATTTCAGTGACAGCTGTTTTTGTTTATTATTTATATTTATGCTAAAAAAGTTTGTTTATAAATTTTAAAATTAAATATATGTACATTTTGTGATAATTAGATAAATTAAAAAGATTTGAAATTTTTTTGTTGAACCATTTTTATTTAATAAAAAAAACATATTGATAAAAACACCAAGATGTCTGGCAAAAAGTGCAGTGTTCCATTATGCTCTTTTAAATTTGATAATATTTTGAAACGTTACCGTACGGTTTTAGAATTTGCTAAAGCCAAATTATAAAATTTTGAAAAATGGAAAAATTTATTCCCAGAAGAAATTTTAAAAAAGTATTCTGATAAACAGATATATGATAATATTAGGGTTTGTAGCGAACATTTTCATAAGAATTGTTTTGCAATTGGATTTTCAAAACTGAATTATGGTGCTATTCCAAATCTCTATATATCAGGTAAGTTTACTTGGTGCAGACATTTTTTTGTCTACTTAAAACAGCAAATTTCAAAAACCGAATAAAAATGAATATATACAATTTGAGATTTTTTGTTTATGTTTACATTGTGCATGTTCATATGCATACATATAACATTGTGTGATGTGAATGTATGTTTTGTTTTTTAAGAAACTAGAACTGTCAAGTCTGAAACAAACATCAAAAAGTCAAAGAAAATAAAATTGAAATCAATAAACTAGTAGAAGGCCGTTGATATTTTTTCATAGTAAAAGTACTATAATTTATGATTGACAATGAAGTAAAAACATAGGTAACATTACGTGAAATTTGATAATTAAATTTTGAATTTTTTTCATAAGCTCGCCAATTTGTCGCAAAAAATTTTATTCGGAAAAAAACGAATTAACAACTGCACTTATTTTGGATTCAGTATTTGTAATCCCTGATGAGATACTTTAGTTTTGAATGATTATTTTTATTGAAGTTTTTAAAAAATAAAATTTTCGTATTTTACTTTTACCTAAATAACTTTGGAAAATACTTTTCATTTTGCTTTTATCAAAACTACTAATCAAATGGGTTACACGAATTTTTTTTGGCCTAGTCTTATGATGTCAAATTATATAAGTACTTCGATTCAGTATTGTTTCTATCGAATCTGTCAAATGGAAAAAAAACAATATTTTGGTTAAATAATTTTCTATGTAATTGCCAAATATATAGACTTTCCCATCTAATATTTAATTATTCAAAAAATTGCATGCTAAGAGACATATATATTTTATATGTTAACACCACCTTACAACACCAAATGTGTAGTTGTTTTGATACCTTAAAATGCGTAATTATTTTTTTTGATAAGATTTTTCTCACATCCCTGTTGAAGCAATACATAATTATTGCACATATGACTTAAATTTGTTGACAGTTTCATATCAATGGGATGGGAAGTTTTTATGTTCTCGAAATTTGAAGTTCTTTAGCATATTTTCCTAGTTATGGCTGCAGTTCGTAGTATTGTTGGAATATTAAATCAGAAAAAATTAAAATTATTTCAGTGTTATTCTATTCAAGTTTTACCAAATCGTAATTATAATGTTTGTTTATTAAGCTGTGATAAATTCCAATCGAATCACAAACGTGCCGCAGTTGGACATCAACATAAAGGTATATAAGTAGCGCATTGCAAATACTCTAAATTGAATTACATCATAATTTTAATTTTAAAATTTGAAATGAAAGTGATGCTATTTATTCAAAAATTATTGTATTATTAATAATTATTAGTCTGTTATTTGCTTGCTTTTATATATCGACGTTAATTTTATAAAACAATCAACATAACCTCTTTTGATTATTTCTAGGGACTTCTACGGGAAAATTATCTAGTAGAGATCAGTCAATACGCACGTTCCATGTATCTTCTTCGGTGAAAGCCAAAGATTATTATAGTATATTAAATGTAGCAAAAAATGCTTCAGCTAAAGAAATTAAGAAAGCATATTATGAATTAGCTAAAAAATATCACCCCGACACAAATAAAAATGATCCTGATGCTAGCAGAAAATTTCAAGAAGTTTCGGAGGCATATGAAGTGCTTAGTGACGACCAGAAGCGTAGAGAATACGACACATTTGGACGAACCTCGGAACAAGCAAGCCGAAGTGGTGGAGGTCCTAGAGGACCAGAAGGATTTTCGCAAAGCTGGCAGTATAGATCAACTATTGATCCAGAAGAGTTATTTAAAATTATTTTTGGAGAAACTGCCTCTAGAACCCATGGTTTCGAAGACTTTGCTGGATCACAATTTGGTTTTGGTGGAGCACAAGAGGTTGTTGTAGATTTAACTTTTGCACAAGCAGCTCGAGGGGTAAACAAGGACATTAGTGTTAACATCGTAGATACATGCCCAAAATGTCACGGTTCTAAATGTGAACCTGGAACAAAACCAGGAAAGTGTACATACTGCAATGGAACTGGCATGGAATCGATTTCAACCGGACCTTTCGTAATGAGATCAACTTGCCGCTACTGCCAAGGTACTCGTCTCTATATTAAATATCCTTGTGCTGAGTGCGAAGGAAAAGGCCAAACAGTAAGTTTTATTATATTTAACATTGGGAAAAATTTAAGAAGAGTGATATCATATGACATTGTAGGTTCAAAGGAAAAAAGTTACTGTACCGGTTCCGGCTGGAGTTGAAAATGGACAAACAGTAAGAATGGCAGTAGGGAGCAGAGAGCTTTTTGTTACTTTTAGGTAAAATTGAATTTTAAAATCGCAAATACACTTCAAAAAATTATGTCTTTTCAAGAGTGGAGAAGAGTAGATACTTTGAAAGAGATGGAGCTGATGTACGTACAAAAGCTACTATTTCATTATCTCAAGCGGTTCTTGGTGGAACAATTAGAATTCAAGGAGTGTATGAAGACCAAATTATACAAGTATAAAGAATTTGAGAAAAACAAAAAGTATGGTGAAAATAATAAATGTTCTATTTCAGATTTCACCAGGAACTTCATCACATACAGTTATTAATTTAAAAGGGAAAGGTTTGAAAAGAGTCAATTCCTATGGTACAGGCGATCATTATGTAGATTTGAAAATAGAAATTCCTAAAAAATTAACTGAGAAACAGAAAGCTTTAATACAGGTTCTATTTTGTATTTATAAAATTTATATTTCCTTATTAACAATATAACATCTTAATCTTATTTATCTCAAAAAAGGCCTATGCTGAGCTGGAGACGGACACGCCTGGTCAAATATTTGGTGTAACATTTAAAACTGATGGTAAGTCTAATAGATCTGGCTATAAAAACGAAACAATTTCAAGTGAATATACTCAGGGTAACGAATCAAGTAATCAAAGTTATACAGAACATGATCATACAAGCTTTTATGAGCAATCAAGAGAAAAATTTGATAAAAAATTTTATTATTCAATTGGCGCAGTTTTAATGACATTGTTTTGGTTTTATCATTTAGTATCTTCTCGACAAGATGTTTTGGATTATGAAAGAGATCTCGTTTTAAAAGAACGAGAAGAAAATTTTCGTAGACAACAAATGCAGCAGCAGTATAGTAATAGTTATCGAGACTAATTTAATAATGAAAATTTGATTCATGCACTCATTTTCATTATTAATATTTTTAAAAATTTAAAAAGAAAATTAAATTCCGATTGGTTTATTTTAATTTAAATATGAAAAAATAATTTTGTTTTATTTAAGGGAAGTGAAATGCAATCATCAAAACTTTTTTTTTTGCCAGATAAGTGATGATAGAAAAATATTAAACAAGAATTTGTATTTAGTAAAGTAAATAATATTTTTCAAATAAAGTAATGTTAGTTAATATTAAATACAAATGCTGTTGTTATTTCATTTCCCTTAAATATATCTCAAATAAAATATTAAGAAGCAAAATAATTATACTGTCATTATAAATTCATGTGTAAGAATTTTTTCGGTTAAGAATTTATTTCTCAGTTTCTTTAAAAAATATTTTCATTAGTTTGCAAAATAACATAAATATTTTTGCGATGCAAATTTACCTTTATTTATATTTAGGTACGAAGGAAAGTGTTTCTTCTTCAAAGAATCTAAAGGATGCCATTAAAGAGGCTCTTAATTCAATAAAAAAAAATCAAGATAATTCTAGCAACAATAGTCAAACAAATGAAAATAGTGACAAAATAAAGAATGATGAAGATGTTAAAGAAAGAAGTAAAGCGTGAAAGCAGATAAATTAGAATCATTTTGGGAATACAATTATTTTACCAAATTTTAGATAAAAAATTCAAATTTCGTTTTAGATGTTAAAATTATAATTACGATACATTATAAGAATATATAAAATAGCTTAATTTTCAATTACTATTTTTTTTTTATTGGAAATATGAACTGTTATTATGTAAATACATGACATGATGATTATATTTAATGGGTTTATTATAATTATTTTGTCAAAAAAGAAGAAAACAAAAACAAATTATCTTTGTTGAATAAAAAACATCTCAAAAGGACATCAACCTACATTTTTTATTATTTTTTTTTATACATATTAGGTATTTTTTGAATTTTATCTTTATTTTTGATTTCATATCAGGCCGATTGAAAAAGATCTATGTATATTTTTTAAAATTTCATAAGTCGTTTTTAAGAAATTGATTATTTGATTTTTAGGAGCAAAAAGAAATTAATGTTTCTAGTACAACAGAGGATTTTTAAAAAAAAATATAAAATGCATTTTGTGAGTTTCTGCAAATATTCAAAATCACAAAAATATTAGATGCACTATTAAAAATGAACTAAATATTAATATTCAGTCAATTTAAGTTATTTGAACCAATGAATCTTTCATAATAAAATTCTCCATATTCAAAAACCAAAAGTGTAAATAAAGTAAATTAAATATAAATTATTTTACAATAAAATAAAAGCAATTAAACAACACTACGTGTATTTACACTGTACTATACTAAAATATTTAAGAACAAAAAATTATATACCGATTAAAAGATAGAGTAAATTACGTTCTTACCAGAAAGTTAATACCAGAAACTTATAATTCTTTTACAAATTCTAATAATTTGTTTTATTACAATAATTGATAATTTTAATTAATTCTATTATTTAACTTAATGGAAATTAAACTTTAAAAATCTGCATCAAATTATTTCATAATTTAAAATAGTAGTTCTATGAAATATTTTATATTTTTAATGTGTTATTTGTATCATATTGTGTACGTGTACATCATTTGCTTTCTGTTTGAAAAATTTTATTAAATTTTCAACTGCTTTAGATCATAAATATTTTGTATGTACAAAGGAAAAAAATACCATAATGAATGCATCTCCATAAAAATTTTATTATTTACATACTATATTTCATTAAAGTTTATTTCCATATTCGTAGGCGGGCATCATATTCTATATAATATATAAACCATGTACTAAACCTGGTAAAATTAACTAACTTACATCATAAATATTTGGTAATTAAAATTCATGTACATAATATTACAAAATCCTTGAGGGTTTTTTTTTGTTTTTAAATAGAAAAAATCATTATCATTAATACAAAAAATAAAATCTTATTTGTACAATATGCTGATGATGAGCATGTAAAGATTAATATACGCGTTAATTTTGTATTCATATAATATTCGCATAATGTTTTTGAAGAAAAAAAGTATGTAAGTATGTAATTGAATAATAAACAATTTTAATGATTTGTTACAATTGCCAATTTTCTATTTATTTTAAAATTAAGTTGTTTAAATATGCAAATATCTAATATATGTAAAAAAAATAATATAATTTTACCTTACTTAATAGTAATTATATTGTCTTGGAAGAAATTGGGTCACGAATTGCTGTATCTCTTGTTTTCTCAAGAAAAAAATATTGTTTAAATAAATAAAATTACAAAAAGTTATGTTGACACACCCGTATTTTTATTTTTACAAAAAGTCTAATTAATTTTATGTTTAAAAAAAAAAAATACATTCTATATGGATTTTATTTGGAAGCAATGTGTAGAATTAATTTTAAAGTAAGATAATAGGCATCATATTATTTAATGCTAGGTACCAGGATAGGTACATTTTATGCTAATTAAAATAGTTATTTAAGAAAAGAAAGAATTTTATTGAGTTGGGAATTAGTATGTTTTGTTAATACTATGCATTATGAGATATAAAATTGGCTTGCAGGATAATTGTATTGAGCCGATTGAATTAAATGTTTAAATTAAAATAATAAAAGATTAATGAATATGCCTTAATATTTTATAATTTTAGATTTATTTCAGCTAGTTTGGGTTTTACTGTGTTGAAATTCAATCGCTAGAGAGTTAATTTTTGATTTAGCACATTAAATATTAATAGAATTCTTAAAATTTTGCATTTAATTAGTTATTTAGTTGAGTGGGATAGGTAGAAGTAGAAATTAATATTTTAAATTTAAAATTCTTCTTCTAAGTCTTTTTATTTTTAATCAAATTTATTGCTTTGATTAAATTTTTAAATTAAATCTTAATGAAAGTATATGAAATGCGAATTCCATTAAAAATGTTTTGTTTAATAATTGAATTGTAAAGTTTATTACTAATTTTAAATTTTATATATAATTTATAGCAAATAAAATCATTTAATTAAACTAATAATCTTAACTAATTGATTGATATTAAGCACAAAGTCTTTTTTCTTTATTTGTTTTTTTTTTAAATTTCTTTAATTAATTTCGTTTTTTTGTTTTACCTTCATTATATTATCCCTTCCGAACGTAATTTGAAAAATTATCTGATTGAAATAGCATGTCAAAAATATTTATGACTATTGAATAAATTTGATTATCTTCAATAATATTAAATTATAAAGAAAAATAAATTTTTATTTGACAATAAATAGTTATTCAACCTTATCATCAGTATTTAAAATTAATATGGCAAGTAGAAATATCGTGAAAATTTTTTAAAATTCCCGTACCTCGGATATCGTTGAGATTTGACACCTAAATTGTGAACAAAAATTTGACTCGTTTTTGATGGCCTAAATGATGGTATATGTTATGTTACTGATTACTGAATCACCCTATATAATTAAACAATCTATTTTTCGTTAATATTTTAAACCTTTTAACAAAATCTGAATATATTTTCAATTTTACTTCCATTTAATCTCAGCATCATCAAAATAATTAACATCTCATTTTATAATTTAAGACTTTAAACAAATTTTTATTATTAAGATATTGGTTATTTCGAATAAAACAGAAAAAAAAAAAAAAACTATAATATTATGCAGGAAAATATAAAGTCAAAATACAAAATATAAAAAATAAATTTAAATAATTTAATTTCTACTCATTATTTATTATATTTTAAAATATTTACATATTAAATCATATCAAAAAATCTTTCATATATCAAAAGTATTAAATATTTATTAATGGTTGATTATTAAAAATATTGAGAAAATATTTAAAGTAAAAAAAATAAATTTTAACGCATTTTATCTATTAACGACAAAATACAATTTCCCTACTGACATAATTAATTTTTGCCGCAAAAAAAATTCTTGCAAAATCACGGATCAAAATAAAAATAATCGGTTCATTGTCAAGGTTAAAAAAACACAAGTATTTGAAAATATTTTTATCTTTCTTTTTATTATTTTTTATTTTAACATTCAACAATACTTCATTTTTATATTTTTTTTCCATTTTTTCGTCTTGAATTTTGATGAATTTGGTTTTTTTTTTAACAATTTATTTCTTAAAGTTTTACTACAATTATTATTGCAATATTAATACAATTATCTTATATTTTTTATCTTTGTAAAAATGTAGTAGAAAAAAATTATGGCATGATTTGCTTTTTATTTTAGAGTATGTTACAATTAGTGTTCGAAATGGTAATCATTTCTATGAGACTAAGTGAGTAAATTATTAAAGAGCTCGCTAAATATAGTTAGTTGCAAATATGTACCCAATATTTTTATGGTAGAAAATATTTAAGAGTAAAAATTTTTTCAAAATATTTCAAAGAATCTGTTCACAAGCTCAATAATATTTAATTAATACTTGCAATTTTAAAAAAATTTTTGTAATTTTGTCAAAATTATTCCTTACAATAAGTTTTCGTTATAATTCGTTATGCCGTTATGAAGGTAGTGACTGGCTTCTTCTACCTTGCCATAACATAGTTGAGCGTGGAAATTACAAAATGGCCGTTAAAATTTACCGTTATCTAAAGTCTGTTTTTTTCAAATATTTGATATCGCTTTTCTTCTAGACGATAAGCCGTATAGGAGTCTGAATTTTTAACAGCTTTTATATACGTATATTAATAAATAGAGCTACTAACTTCGATAAATAGAGCTAGTAATAGATTCGATAAATGGAGCTACTAATTATATATATATTAATAAATAGAGGTACTAACTTCGAATTAATACCTCCATCCCTCTCTCAAGTTACGACTTCTCGAAATTTGCAAAATTTGAATTATTTGCACTTTATATTCCTGAAACTTTAAGTTTTTCCTAATTTCTATAAATATATAGAGCTAACGGTAAATGTCGCACCATTAAGAAATATTAATTATTTACTTTAAACTCACGCAACTAACGCTTGAAATCCAATTAAGACCATTATGTTACCGCCTCTTTCCATTTGTTTTTTGTCTCATCCTAATTGTATGCAATCATTTGAAATATTTTGGTAAAACAAAGTAATAAATTACTTTTAACTGAAGTATTTTCTCATATTGAAGGGAAAAGTGGTACTTAACAACCCATTGGTATGTC